TACATTGTTGAAACTCCAAGTACTGGTTTCGAAACCACATCCTACACTTACTGGACTGGTACTACAGCCAACACCTTGTCTACCATCACCACCACTTTCACTGGTTCCGATGGTAATGAGACTACCGAAACCATCTACATTGTTGAAACTCCAAGTACTGGTTTCGAAACCACATCCTACACTTACTGGACTGGTACTACAGCCAACACCTTGTCTACCATCACCACCACTTTCACTGGTTCCGATGGTAACGAAACTACCGAAACCATTTACATTGTTGAAACTCCAAGTACTGGTTTCGAAACCACATCCTACACTTACTGGACTGGTACTACAGCCAACACCTTGTCTACCATCACCACCACTTTCACTGGTTCCGATGGTAATGAGACTACCGAAACCATCTACATTGTTGAAACTCCAAGTACTGGTTTCGAAACCACATCCTACACTTACTGGACTGGTACTACAGCCAACACCTTGTCTACCATCACCACCACTTTCACTGGTTCCGATGGTAACGAAACTACCGAAACCATTTACATTGTTGAAACTCCAAGTACTGGTTTCGAAACCACATCCTACACTTACTGGACTGGTACTACAGCCAACACCTTGTCTACCATCACCACCACTTTCACTGGTTCCGATGGTAATGAGACTACCGAAACCATCTACATTGTTGAAACTCCAAGTACTGGTTTCGAAACCACATCCTACACTTACTGGACTGGTACTACAGCCAACACCTTGTCTACCATCACCACCACTTTCACTGGTTCCGATGGTAATGAGACTACCGAAACCATCTACATTGTTGAAACTCCAAGTACTGGTTTCGAAACCACATCCTACACTTACTGGACTGGTACTACAGCCAACACCTTGTCTACCATCACCACCACTTTCACTGGTTCCGATGGTAATGAGACTACCGAAACCATCTACATTGTTGAAACTCCAAGTACTGGTTTCGAAACCACATCCTACACTTACTGGACTGGTACTACAGCCAACACCTTGTCTACCATCACCACCACTTTCACTGGTTCCGATGGTAATGAGACTACCGAAACCATCTACATTGTTGAAACTCCAAGTACTGGTTTCGAAACCACATCCTACACTTACTGGACTGGTACTACAGCCAACACCTTGTCTACCATCACCACCACTTTCACTGGTTCCGATGGTAATGAGACTACCGAAACCATTTACATTGTTGAAACTCCAAGTACTGGTTTCGAAACCACATCCTACACTTACTGGACTGGTACTACAGCCAACACCTTGTCTACCATCACCACCACTTTCACTGGTTCCGATGGTAATGAGACTACCGAAACCATTTACATTGTTGAAACTCCAAGTACTGGTTTCGAAACCACATCCTACACTTACTGGACTGGTACTACAGCCAACACCTTGTCTACCATCACCACCACTTTCACTGGTTCCGATGGTAACGAGACTACTGAAACTATCTACATTGTTGAAACTCCAAGTACTGGTTTCGAAACCACATCCTACACTTACTGGACTGGTACTACAGCCAACACCTTGTCTACCATCACCACCACTTTCACTGGTTCCGATGGTAATGAGACTACCGAAACCATCTACATTGTTGAAACTCCAAGTACTGGTTTCGAAACCACATCCTACACTTACTGGACTGGTACTACAGCCAACACCTTGTCTACCATCACCACCACTTTCACTGGTTCCGATGGTAATGAGACTACCGAAACCATCTACATTGGTTGAACTCCAAGTACTGGTTTCGAAAACCAACATCCTACACTTACTGGGACTGGTACTACAGCCAACACCCTGTTCTACCATCACCAACACTTTCACGGGTTCGAATGGTAACGAAACTACCGAAACCATTTACATTGTTGAAACTCCAAGTACGGGTTTCAAACCCCAATCCAAACTTACGGGACTGGTCTTACGGCAAAACCTTGTCACCATCACCACACCTTCCCGGGTCCCAAGAAAAGAAAATACCAAAACATCTCCTTTTTAAACCCCAAATATGGTTTCAAACCCAATTCCCAATTACGGAAGGTACCAAGGCCAACCTTTTTATCAAACACACATTTTCGGGTCCCAGAGGAAAGAACACCCAA